AATGACGCTGCCCACAGTAAGGTGGGTTTACCCACATGAATTAGTTCAGTCTAGAAAATCCCTCACAGGTATGTCCAAGGAATTGTATCCTAGCTCATTCCAGATCCTACCAGATTTAATTAATATTTACCACTACATTGTCTTCACTGAGGAGCTAACAGTGTCCAGAATGTTGTGTATTAAAAGACAAGAAGAGCACCCTAGTGCCTGAGGCAGGAGGATTGTCATGAGTTTGAGACCAGTCTAAGCTGTTCAATCAATAAGAGTCTCTAAGAATAAATAGATAATAAATAGATAACCAGAGGAGTTATTGCCCTGTGTATTGTTATTCTGTGGCACTCATTATTTTTGCCTCCTTTTAAAGAGGATACATAAAAAGCTAGGAGATTGGCTCTAGGCCCGAGAGCTAGCGATGCTCCAGGTGGGCTCAGGGATGAGCTCACTGTTTGGGGAGGATTGCCTGCAGGACTTCCCATGCACTTGGAGCATCTGTTAAACTTAATGTCACTGTCACAAAATATCCAAGAAACTCAAGGAAAGTCAAAGAAAGTCAACTCATTTTGTGTCATAGTTCAGAAGTTTCAGACCAATGGCAGGTAGATCCGATGCTTTGGGCCAAAATAGCGAGTTAGTTCATCCATGAGCAAGGATGTACTGGTGCCCTCCTCATGTTCTGTCTCACACGTGGGTGGGTCTCAGTGAGCACAACAGGCTGTGCTAGGGCTTTCAGAGCCTACGGCTTCAGCGATCTCAGCTTTAGCTGAGACGTGAGAGGAGACTAGGCACTTGTTGACTGACAGGACGCTGCTCCCCCAACCACCACCACAGTGTGAATAATGGCAGTGGCTGTCATTTGGGACCAAGGAACAGTTTATCTTCTTTTCGGTCTATGGTCCTTTAGGGGGAAGACCAACAGGAGCCAAGTGCTCTCTGTCAGGATGTCCCCTGAGATGACGGAGCCACACACATCCTGGACCATGTAGGATGTGACACATGAGCAGAAGCTGGGGTGTTAGGTGGATACATTGTGTGTAGAGTCAGAACATGCTTCCAAGCACACTTGCAAAGGAACAGAGTTGAGATCATGTCTCCACTGCTAGCTTGCTGAGGATTTGGGGCAAGCAGCCTAGAGCCTCCAAAGCCTCTCCCCCTCACCAGCAAGTCAGAAAGGAGAATGCTTGCTTGCTGCAGCTACTTAGAAGTCTCACAGAGATCAAAATGCCTAACAGTCAGTCAAATACCTAGCAGATAGCCAGGAGCTTCCTCCCCTAACTGCCTCCTCTTCAGACTCTTCACCTGTCTGTAGCATATCTCCAATAAAATCACACCTCTTCTCAAAGGCCCTCTTGGTCTCCTTTTTTTTTTTTTTGAGACAAGGTTTCTCTGTGTAGCCCTGGCTGTCCTGGAACTCACTATGTAGACCAGGTTGCCCTCAAACTCAAGTCCGCCTGCCTCTGCCTCCCAAGTGCTGGGCTTAAAGGCGTGTGCCACCACTGCCCGGCCCCTCTTGGTCTCCTATCGCTAAGCAATGCTTACAGATCTGACTTGGTCCTCAGGACCCTGCCTGTTGAAGCTCTCATATCCTGTGCTATAATATCTGTTACCCTGTATATAGCCACACTGAGGGATGAGTGCATGTTTGCCCTTTCCTCTCTTCCTGTACTTTTACTCCCTTGTTTGGAGAACCCTATTCTCTCCCTATGCTGTAGCCTATCCCCTGGGGTAAGGCTGAATTTCTAAAGCACATGCTTTATTAAATTACCCGCCTCTAGTTTGACAGCCAAGGAGATCCTCTAACTCTTGTCTTCACTTATGGTTTATCTGTAATTCTTATGAAACTGCAGGAATATCATAATTTTTATGGTCAAGCCTTGTTTTCCTTGCCTATAAAGTTTCTGGAGTCAGGATTTTGTTCTCAGTTTATCCACCCAGCATCAGGCTCATCAAATGAATGAATGAATGAATGAATGAATGAATGAATGAATGAATGGCATCTATTCCTAACTAGACCTCCCATCAATGGAATGCTATCACTTTTTCAGCCATCCATATGTGCTCGCTGTTTTTTGTCAACTTGACACAAATCTAGACATATCTGGGAAGAAAGAATCTTTATTGAGACAAGGCCTCCATAAGATTGGTCCATAGGCGATTTTGTGGGGTATAGTTTTGATTATTAATGATATAGGAAAGCACAGATCACTGAGGGCAGCTCTACCCCTGGGGAAGTGGCTCCTGGATTGTTTATGGAAGCAAGATGAGCATGCCATGAGGAGCAATCCAGTAAGTAGCACTCGCCCTTAGTCTCTGCCTCACTTCCTGCTTCCAGATTCCTGCCTTGAGTTTCTGCTCTGACTTTCTTCATGACAGACTATATTCTGTAAACTGAAATTAAACTCTTTCCTCCCCAAGTTACTTTTGGTCATGGTGTTTATCACAGCAGTAGAAAGCAAACTAGCTTTCTACTAGAAAGCAAACTAGCATTCAAACAAGCATGGATATTTTGGTTTCATGAACAGTCATAGTGATGTGAACTGAAAATTAAGAATACAATAACAAAAGAGGTTGTTCTCCCCAGGACCTTAGCCATGATGAAGGCTGGAAAGTAACAGACACGGCAGTCCTGCAGCTTCTTCCAGTTGTGAAGCCAAGGCACATAGCTTTGCCCTGCAGCCTTTGTGGGTGCAGTAGAATCTTATAACCTGCGCAAGTGTTCAGTCACATATCATCTGCCCATATCAGTGAATGTGACTAGTATTCCAACAGGATCCTTAGGAACAAACCCAACAGATCTAGATTCTAACAGCCACAAGTCATTCAGGATAGGTCCTGACACCCACACCGGGTGTGCTTTACCTTGCCCATGGGTAGAGCGGAGCAAGACAAGCTCCAGATCTCTTAGAAGCCTTGGGGGATGATATTCTCATGAATAAGATCTTGAAAATAGGAACTGAGTCCTTGCTAGTTAGTTTTTAACAGGTTAGAGTCACCCAGGAAGATGGAACCTCAGCTGAAGAATTGGCTCCATCAAATTGGCTTATGAGCAAGTCTATGGGCCAATTTCTTGATTAGTAATTGATCTAAGTGGGCATATCCCACTGTGAGCCTTGCTACCCCTGGGCTGTTTCAGAAACCAGGCTGAGCAAGCTTCTATGGCTTATGCTTCAGTTCCTGCTACCAGGTTCTTGGCCTGAGTTCATGTCTTGGTTTCCTTCAGTGTTGGATTATAAGCTATAAGATGAAGTAAACTTTTTCCTTCCCCAAGTTGCTTTTGGTCATGGTAGTTGTCACAAAAACTGAAAGCAAAGGACAAAGTCCCAGAGCCATTTGAAAAGCATAGACTGAGAGTCATCCTAACTTAGTATATCAGGTTTATCTGAGTGTGTGTGTGTGTGTGTGTGTGTGTGTATACTGTGTGTGTGTGTGTGTGTGTATACTGTGTGTGTGTTTGTAGTCTGTGTGTGTATGTATGTGTATGTGTATAGGTAGGTAGATGGGCAGGCAGACAAGGAAAAAGGGCAGGAGGAAGGGAGACAGACAGACAGACAGACAGACAGACAGACCGATTCTAGAGATCCAAACTTAGTTCTTCAAGCTGCTGGGCAAATGCTTTAGGGACTGAGCCATCTCCTTAGCTCTCTAATTTGATTTAGAAGAATTTTTTTTGTTTTCCTCCAGATTTATTTTCATTATTCTGTAGCAGTTCATGAGGTCAGTAGAGCTTGGCCCCAGGAAGAGTATGGGAGTCCCTGCACTTGGACAGAGCCTAGAAAAGTTCCTGCCTGATAGCTACTCTCGCCTGAGAATAATTAGAATTTACAGTAGAGAAACATCTGAGACACAGGGAGAGTTGGCAAATTTTCACACTTACAAGATTTTTGTTTTTAATGGGAATTACCAGTAATTCCTCACCTTACAAGAGACAATAATGACTTCTTAGCAGGGTTCCAAGGTATATTTGGCAAATATGTATTCAGGGAACTTCTCAAATAATGACTTGAGAACAAAACTCAGATAAATTAAGTGTCTTGACACCCAGCTCTTTGCCTGTAAGCTCTTTATGCAAAGGGTGTTTGGGAGTGTCTGTTACAGTGCATGAACCTGCAGTTTTCAAGGATCTGTGTTCAGTTTCCAGTTCCTTTTGCTGAAACCACCCAAGGCAAATGACTTGAAACCTTGTAGCCCCTCCCTTCTTTACTAATGGGTGGGATTCCTTGCACTCATGTGACAATCATTTATTATGTAAGGATACCAGTGGTGCTGATGAGTCAGATTCATAGTCTTTGAATTCTAGGACCAGAAAGAAATTCACATACTGCCCACCTCAGAGTTTTCTGTTTTTCAATGAACTGAGCCTGAGAAATGGAATGTGATTTGACAGAGGGCCAGAGCAGAGTTTGTTCACAAGAGAACCCATGCCCAAGTGACCCTGTAGTCTACATGCTACATCCTAGTGAAGCAGGTCTGTTTCCTAAGCCAAGTACCAAGGCTCTAAGAACCAAGGTGCTTCACTTATTTTCCTGGCAGGTCACTGTCACAAGGCTAGTATCTTTGGGCATCAGCCCCACTCTGTGTGCCTTCCAGATCATCACAGAGCACAGGATCGGTCCTGTCTGTCTATCACACAGTTGCTCTTGTGCTTCAAGTCTTACACTGGGCACATGCGTTGTAGAGACTAGCAATATAGCCTCTGCCCTGGAGAGCTTGGGTCTCCAAGAAAAAACATACATGCAGGTAATGACTGTAAGACAAGGTGATTACACTCATAGCAAGATAAATGCAGCACAGGGCAAGGCTCTCCCAAGAGCCACAAGAGGCAATGGAGATGAGCTGTTTATTCAAGGTCTTCAGGGTTAGAATTCCACTTGCTTCACATCATGGCCATGGGACCAGGATCAAACCCCATGTTCCAACTGGCATCCATTTGCAAAGGGTTCAAGTCTGAGAGAAAGTATTAGGGACTAATCATGCTTAATCCCTCCTCTTCTCTTCCTCAACAGAAAGCGTACCACCCTGTCCTCTGGGATCCGATGGCCTTGGAGAGGGGGCTGCAGGGCCTGCGGACACCAACTCTTCCCAGAGTGCTGACATGGAGCCAGGTCAGTCCCTGTCATTTCCAATGTTCAGTCATCATCTGTGAACCTGGGGCTTAGTGAGAAACACAATTTAGAATCTGGAAATGCATCTACTTTTCAGGCTGTGTAGGAAGTGCAGAAGATCAAGTGACAGTGGTACTTTTTAATAAGAGGACAAGGAACAGAGGCTGCTGGGAGCTGTAGCATCTGCAGGATTTGCCTAGTGAACAGATGGTAGAGCTGTTGCCAGGCTGGTGTGCCTGGCCCCTCCTCACGTGTCACACTGCATGCTTGATGTGGAGGGCAGGGTAGGTGGGGTTGGGCATCCAACAGGAATGATGATGGTGCTGGCAGCAAGTAGGTACTATCCAGGTCTGTCCAGGACAACAAAGGTTGTGGTAGATTGGAGCTCGCTCTTGCATCTAGGAGACCAGGGTGTATGTCCTGCAGCTGGTGGTGAAGGCAGAGTCATAGATGAACATGGGGAGAGAACAATAGTGGGAGACTGTCAGAAGGGGTCCAAAAAGGTACCCTGGAAGGCTTTCTTCATATTGCCACGAAACACCACAATGTAAAGTAGGTAAGAAATGCAGCAAAGTGGAGATAAGGCTGGGCTGAGTGAGGAAAGTGCCATGATGTTTCAAGCTGGAGGAAGGTGGCCAGAAGTAGGACAGCATCAAACATGGAGGCAGAGCCCAATGAAGGAGGCTGCAGAGGTAGGAGGGAGGACAGGAAAGTAAGATCTTCATTAGAGATACACTACATGCATATATCAAGTTCTGATTCTTATTCTTTAAGCAGTCCCATAAGGTGACATATGGGCTATATTGGACTCCGTACTGCTGGAGTCATGAATCAACTCCAGAATCTCAGCAGATAAACAGACTGAGGTTTTGCTCATACTAAAGGCTTATGTAGTCTGATAGAGAGCCCTGCACACCACCTGGAACACATGGCCACTTTGGTAACCACTGCAATACTTACAGCTGGAAGGTGTTGGCTATTAAGTATTTTGGTTCAGAAGTGACACACCCAGCCTCCTAGATCACAGTCTGTTCCTGACATCTAGGGTCCTGGGGTCTATGAAGCAGATAAGGAATGAGTCCTACTCACATTCGCTGGATTAGGTAACTATTTCCATCTTACAGGCCAGCAATTGGGAGTCTCAGAGGCATTCACGGTACTGCCATAGGGCTCCCAAATCCAACATGCTGTGGTTTGGATGTTGCGTAACCTCTGCCCGCAACATTCATTTAGCCAATCATCAAAGACATATGGAACAAATATTGCAGCCCAGGGAATGACAAAACCAGAGGTGGCTAAAGCATATGTAACTGCACAGGACAGCAAATCCTCTGACTTCATAGATGGTTCTCCAAGAGGCTCTGCAAGTTTTGACTTTTGCCTAGAAGGAAAGTAAAAAGATGAGATCACATGTATAGAATCCTGACTTACACATCTCAGTTAATTCACATTACCCATAAGCCAGTTTTCATGGCCCCATTTTTAAGATAAGTAAAAAGATTGTCTTGCTCAGGTAAGAAAAGACACATCAGTTCCTCATCCCTATCTAAAGCTCTCATCCAATAATGACTTGGGTTCCAGTAGAACAGGAACTGAATCTCTCCCACTCCATCTAAACCCTAGAAATGTGGTCCCTCAGTCTTCCTAGAAGTCTTCTCCGGTTAGGGCCTTCCTTTCCTGCTTCCTCGATATGCCCCAGTATAGCATGCTGTACCTCGGAGACACTGACTTCAGCTCTGACACAGGGAGACTGAATTGCTCATCCTTATTATGATGCCACCCACAGAGCTGAGCCTGGAACAAGGCTTGTTGAGCTCCTCTATATGAAGGGAAGGAAGGAAGACACTGTTCAAAGTTATGTGGTGGAAAGCTCTGAATCTGACAGCAGAGGGTCACACATAAACCTTGACATCAGCGAGCTTGGTTCAGGAACACTCCCTGAACTCTCCCTCTTTCTAGCTCCATCACCCACCACCTCAGCCCTGCACTCCATGCTGTATTTACATTGACAAATCACTTCTGCCCTGTCTTTGTGCTTGTTATTACCTCTGGTAGACTTCTTTCCTTTCTGTGATCAGCACAGGGGCACCTGCCACAGCACTCTCCGTCCCTATCATCTGCCTGACAACACCTCCTGTGACTGTCTACCTCATATAGAGGGAGAGAAAGAAAGAGAGAGAGGGAGAGAGGGAGAGAGGGAGAGAGGGAGAGAGGGAGAGAGGGAGAGAGAGAGAGAGAGAGAGAGAGAGAGAGAGAGAGAGAGAGAGAGAGAACAACAAAAACATCACCACCAAAAACCTCTCTAAAGGCCCTCCTGCACCTTGGGTTCTCTTTCTACCCAGGTCTCTAAGCTCCAGTGTCTCATGCCATCCACCTCTTCCAGGTTCCCTGAAGCACAGAACTGCTCCTGCTTTGGAGCATTGAACATGGGCTTTCACCTAACCTTGAGAAAACACTTCTGGCCCTGGGAACAAAAAGAAGTAACAGTCATTGTACCTGTGAGCTGGCCCACGAAGAGTGAGATGCCTTTAGTTGAAGCATGTTAGCCATGTCGATGGCTGTAAAGCCAGGGGATGACAAGGAATATGTAAAAGGCAAAGCCTTCCCCACCCTACCACCCTACAGGAAAGTCCAACAAGCACAGTCTGAATGTCCTCTCAGCACAGGTCTTTCTTCCAGGGGAACATTTATCTCCACCTGGTACATTACTTATTACAAGTTAAGTTTATTCATTTTCAGACGGCTCCCATTAGCATCTAATCTCCAGGAGAGCAGGTACCTCCTTTTTTATAGTTCTCTGAAAGGCCTTCATGCCAAGAATGATACAGTAAAGACAGAATGAGTGAATTAATGAATGTATGGATGATATAGGAAAGACAGAGTGAATGAATGAATGGGTGAATGGTGCTGTAAAGACAGAATGAATGAATGAATGAATGAATGATGAGTGAATGGTGCAATGAAGACTGAATGAGTGAATGAATGAGGGAGTTAATGATGCTGTAAGGACAGGGTGAGCAAATGAATGGTTCAGTAAAGGTATACAGTGAATGAATGAATGAATGATTCAGTAAAGACAGTGTGTGAATGAACAAATGAATGAATGAATGAATGAATGAATGGGTGAATGATGCACTAAAGAGTGGGTGAACTAATGAATGAGTGAATGGTTCAGTAAAGACACACATAATGAATGAGTGAGTGAATGAATGAATGAATGAATGGGTGAATGATGCAGTAAAGACAGAGTGAATGAATGAGCAAGTGATGATCAACAGTTTCCACAGTTTCCACTTCCCGACAGGCCAGTCCCAACAAAACTTGATCAACTCTTAGGCCTCAAGCCATGATCCACCATTCTTCTCTCCTCCATCTTTCTCTCTGCCAGCCCAAGAGGGATGTCCCTGCAGCACATCACACAAGCATTGTCCTATCTATCCTCAGGTCCTGGTCTTTGAGCCTGCTCTACTTGGAGGACCTGGTTACTGCTTGTTGGTCCCATCAGGGTAGAGGGGAACTGTATCTGCAGCTTCAGTCCAGAGCCCCTCGGCTTCTCCTTTTCAAGTCCTCTTTGCCTGGAGTCAGGCACTAGGGAGCCCAGGTTATCAGCTAGGCCCCCTCCTGCTTACCACCTGCCTCAGAGATCAGGAAGAGGAGGCAAATGGGACACTAATGAAATTCAGAGCGAAACTAAATCTGGAGGTGTTGCAAACAGCACGGAGGAGGGAGACAGGACTTAAAAGGATCTGTCTGGGACCGAGGGGAGCCAAGGTTGTAAGCAGCCAGGATTAGCTTCATACATACCATCTTGGACAGATCAACTTCTTTATCCCTAGGGGTGTCACTTTGCTATTTTTAAATTAGAGACCTTTTAATTGATGGACTGACTCATTCATAGGTTTTTACTCCAATGTCAAAAAAATTTTGAGTAGATTCACAGTTTAAAGTCAATTAATCAAAAAATCAAGACAAAAGCATTTAATAAAGGCAGAACATTAGGACAAACAAAGGGGGAAGAAAGAGAGACCAGAAAGGGGTGTGTAGGAGAGGGGCTGCAACCTGGTGTCTTGAGGGTGGCAGTGACCATGTGAGAGATAACTTAGGCCTTGAACCTAGTGAGATTTAGGAATGGGACGCTCAGCGCAGTTGGTAGTGTTAGGGCGTTTTCAGATCCGCTGTTCACTCATTCAGTTACCGGCATTCACTACTTCACACAAGGGGTAGCACAGGCTGTGCTCTCTGCAGATTTCAATAAACTCTTGTAAAGTCCTTCAAGGTGGGGAATTGGAATCAGAGGCACAGAGTTGTTTCTGCTGCCCAGTGTTTCTTGTACTAAAGCCTCCATCTCCTGCCTCCTTAAGCCAGGGGAAGAGGATACAGTGGGGGGTGGGAGTGGGAAGGCTGGTGTACCACTAAAGGCTTTCACAGGAAGGTGAGGAAACCACCTGCAAGGTTGGCCCCATCCCATCCTCAAGCAGCAAGCTTCCTAGTCTCAGGATCTTTTTTTATTCAATGTTCCTGAAAGCAGCAGAGGGGTTTTTGTAAGCAGACTGTACCTGTTTGAGATGCTGTTTATTTATTTGTCAACTTAGTAATTAATAATTTAAAATATTAAACTGGTATGTATAACTTCTTTAACATAAAATATCAAGCTCTAATGTCAGCATCAATAGCACATTTCTATAAAAACTGACTTTTCCCCTGGGGTAGTGGGGGAATAGAAGAATAGAACTGGATAGGAAAACATCACTTCATAGCATGGCAGATTTCTTTAATGGTTGGCTCACCTAAGGTGTCCTTGCTCTGTATCCAGTCTGCATGCTTCACATGCATTCATGAGGGAGTGGGAGGGAAGATGAGGAGATAGCACTTTTAGAAATAGTTTTGTCTCATAGATGACATAAGGGGGCTTGGGGACCATTGAGAATCTGTGTACCTGTTTTGAAAGCCATATGGAGGGACCAGGTGTGGTGGCACATGCCTTTAATTCCAGTACTTGA